GTGATCTGCCGCTAGTGCTGCGGATTACAGGCGTGACGCACCAATATACAGGGCCTGCCCAAAGTGCTTGGGATTCACAGGCGCTGAGCCCACAATAATTGTACAATCCAATTTTAGAAATATTTCTCATCTCCAAATGAAAACCCATTTCCCCCAACAGCATCTCTTGGCCCTCTGACATCACTAATCAACTTCTATCTGTAGTAGGCTAAATAACAGTCCTTAAAGAAATCAGGTCCCTATTTCCTGAAACCTGTAAAATGTTACCTTATTGGGAAAAGGTTCCTTTACAGCGTGTGATGAAGTTAAAGATCTTGAGATGGAGGGTTATCCTGGGTTATCAGTGTGCCCCTAAGTGCAATGCATGTATCCTCCTAAGAGGGAGCAGAAATTCACACACAGAGGAAAAGGCAATGTGAAGATGGAACATGAAGAGAATTTATTTACTCTGTGATGTTGGCCCTGAAGACAGGAGTGATACAGCCACAAGCCAAGGAGTGCAAGCAGTCACCAGAAGCTGGAAGATGTGAGGAACAGGTTCCTCTCCTGTAGCCTCCCTGTTGCCACTGTGATTTTTTGCCCATGGTACTGACTTTGAACTTCTGGTCTTGGAAATTGTGAGAGATTAAAGTTCTGTTCTTTTAAGCCACTAAGTTTGTAGTAACTTGTTATAGCAGCCACAGGAAACATGAATTTTGTTACCAGGAGTGGGCTGCCTAAAAATGTGGCAGTGACTTTGGAACTGGATAATGAAGGAGCGATGGTAGAATTGTGAGAAGCATGACAGAAAAGGCCTAGGTTGCCTTCCAACACACTGTTGATAGAAATGTGGATGTTAAAGACTCTGTCACCCAGACTCTGCCTTAAAGGAAATGAGGAACTTCATACAGAAAGTCTGTGTTCTCTTCAAGAACACACACATTATCATAAACTAAATGCTGAGACACATGGACATTAAAGGTGATGCTAAGGGCACAGAGGAAACAAGGAACATGTTATTGGACACTAGACCAAAGATGATCTTTGTTATATAATGGCAAAAATTTAGTTGGATTGTGTCCTATAGCTGTGTGGAAGGCAGAATCATAAGTAATGAGCTTGTACATTCAGCTCAGCAGACTTCCAATCAAAGCATTCACGACTCAGGTTGGTTTCTTTTTCCTGCTTATAGTAAATGCAAGAGGAAAGAGAATAGAGGGTATAATAAAAAATATAAAGAATTTAAAAGTACAAAAAAATAGATAAACTGAGGGAAGAATTGTTATGCCAAAGGAACCCAGACTTGATTATTTGGGAAATTCTCAGACTACTTAGATTGGAAAAAACCAAAATGCTAAAACTAGGAGATTCACTGTTAGGAAAGTGTGTTCTGTAGAGGAATGCCAAGGGTGTGGCATGTCTTGCAAATTTCCCTAGTGCCAAAGAGATTACACATGAGACTCCTGAATCCCCTCAATCATCTCACAGAAGTGAGGAAGAGAGACAGAATTATCCAGGAAAGATCTGTGGAGAAACCTCATCTGATGCCATGAATTCCATCACATACGGAGAAGTTCCACAAGGATTTTAGAATGTTCTCCCAGCAGAAACACTGCCAGCTTGGACTAGAAAGTTTAGAGACTAGACAAAAATCAAAGAACTCCCAAAACTAGAGAGGCAGGAAATAGGCTGATAGAACTACTCAACCTCAAACATGTGCTACCCTTTAAGAAAAGAAAGATGACCATCAGGGCAGAGCCATGCGCTCAGAGGCCAAAGCCATGGACACAGAGATAGATACAGAACACATGGCTCTCCTTATCGTTGCTGGATTTACTGTGCGCCACGCCAGCTTTCTTCATGCCATCCTCGCTACAACACAAAAGGAGAGGTTTGCACACACCGCTGAGTCCAATGCTGCGGGACCTTGGCCAACAGGCCCTGCCCCGACTCCCTGTGATCAATAAATGAATAGTCATTCCAACCCGATTCCCTATAATCAATCAATGAGCAACCACCCCACCCAGACTCCCAGTCATCAATGAGCAACCACCCCATCCCGACTCCCTGTGATCAATCAACGAGCAACCACACCACTCCGTCTCCCTAGGACCCCCCACAGAGAGGTTCCAGAGCCTGTGACACTCTCCTTTCCCAGCCTCTCTGCCAGAGGGACTGACCCGCTATGGACTTACCCAGGGCTTGGCCTTCAGGAACACATGGCTCTCCGTATCATTGCTGGATTTACTGTGCGCCATGCCAGCTTTCCTCACGGCATCCTCGCTGCAACACAAAAGGAGAAGAGAGATTTGCACACACCACTGAGTCCAATGCTGCGGGACCCTGGCCAACAGGCCCTGCAAAGCAGCAGTCCCTGGTGACAAGGTGCTGTCCCCCCCCAGCACACCAGCCTGGCTGAGGTCCAGGAGAGCCATGAAGGAAGGGGCACTCAATAGAGAGCAATGACAGGCCACTGAGGCAGGGAGAAAGCGAGCAGGGTGATGAGAAAGAAGGGACAGGAAAGATGGTTGCCATGGAGCAAAGAAAAACCCCTGGCATGAGGAGGTGGGGGGCTAGCCCCTAGGGATGGCTCACAACCCATTCAAGTTGAAGGAAGTACGCGTTAGATTACTGGGCAGCAGCTGGCCTTTAGTTCCTAGTTCCTGCTCTCTGAGTGGCCTGCACCAACTCTGCCAGCATGGTACAACCCAGATTCCTCCTCTGTAAAATGAAGGGGCCACATGAAGTCATCACTCAGTCCCTCCCAAGGCAAGGGTCTGTCCCTGTGTGCGACAATGCAGGTTTCATATGTGGGATCAAAGAGACAAGCCCCAACTTCAACAACTTCAAGCTGGGGACAAGAGGAGAAAGACCACAGAAATGTGAACAATATCTTTAAAAACATTTACCAACAATTCCATACTAAGAGATGGAATCCTGTGGAAGGTTTTCATCACACTGCTGCTCCGCAGGGAGAGCGAGCCATGTGGGTCAGCTAAGCTGGAGCTCCCTTGATTGCAGCACACGCTACCCCCAGCATTCACACAGGCAAGACAGGAACAGGTGTGTATCTTTTAGGAAGGCCTGGCCTGTGGCTCCTGCGGACTGGTTGCCTGGTCTGCTCACGCCTGCCTTCTTCCCAGTAGGCGGGGTCTCTTTCCTGCCTGGCCTCCCTGCAATAGCTTTGAGGTGATGGGATGACCATGGTGGTGCAAGACCATGAGTGCACCTCACCTTTGGGCTCAGTGATGATGTGACGGACTCCAAGTCTCTGGCAGACATAATGGAAGGCTTGATTCCCAGGGTTACACCACTGATTGATAGATTCATTCGAGCACGTCCATAACATGTTGTTCACTGAGTCCTAACACGTGCCTGCAAAAACAGCATACTTTATTCAATTGTGATGCCACTAGCTACCTGTACACACATTGCACACAAGCACTGCTCAAAGATACAAGGGCTGTTTAATGTTGAAAACCCACATCCCTACTCCCACAGATTTACATGGCAAAGCCCTAGGCTGGGACTTGGAAAAAGCCAGGATTTAATTT